TATATATATATAAACAACGGCGCACGTGTGGGAGGCGCAAGAGCCCTCAAAACGAGCAAGGCGGCCGGCGTTGCTGGTCGGAGGTGCGTCCGCTGGGCGTGGGGTCTCGCCACTCCCACCCTCTTCGCAGGAGCGTACAACAACAACAAGAACAGCAAAAGATGCGAAAAGGAAAAGTGTGAGAGCTCAGTCATGGACACCAGTGGGAATCGAAGCAGCAGCAGAAGCAGCAGCAGTAAAAGAACGCAGAAATGAGTTTGGTGAAGTCATCTGGAGTCACTGCAGCTGCGTATATTCATGCCCCTTTATGCTCCTGCGCAGACGCACGCACTTACGAAAAGAGAGTGGCATGATATCCAGCAATACATGTTCCATAATATTTTTCTTTGTTTTCTTTTTTAGCTCAACACGTTCCAGGAGAAGAAAGGAGAACGGTGCGATGCATGAAGCAAGATTATAAAGAGACTCGTTTCGTTTTCGCGTTTAGATATCAATCATGCCAAGCCTCAATCTTTATTCCCTATTAGTGCACTCGTCTGCCCAAGAGAGAGAGAGAGAGAGAGAGAGAAAAAAAGAAAGAGAGAAAAAAAAAAAANAAAAAAAAAAAACAAAAAAAAAACAGTTTCTTGGTCATCATGCCCATTTTATCTCCTTTTTTTTTTCTTCTTGTTGTTGTTGTTGTTTCCTCCACCTCGCGGCACCACACTTCATTCATGGCACAACAGGGTGTCTACAGCGCACGGCAAAAACATGTGTCGCTGGCTTGATCATGGACGAAGACCAAGTGAGCGGAAAGAGCTCAAGCATATTACATTATTCTCTCGCTCTCTCTCTCTCTATATATATATATATATTTAGTCGTATATAAACGCATAGCAAGTGTCATAAAGTACCACGGAGCATATTGAAACCGAAATAAGCAAAAAACATCGCCTACGCTGACCGCAGGTGGACACTCTTTTTGCGACGGCCAAGAATATCAAGATGATCAATCTTAATACCCTCGCCAGGATTGTACGGCTTCAGCTGACGTTGTGACCTGCCCTTTGAGTGTAGTTGCTTCATTTCATCCTTGGCGCCATTCTGAAGGCGCTGGTATGCGCTGCCGACGGATGGGGCAAACATCTTGAGGGCCGCCACCAACTCTGTATCCGTGAGGGTGTCAAGCATCGCGCCAACAATCTCGAGTAGCGACATTGCAAAGAAGACCTCAGCGGTAGGCTTCGATGCTGGGCCTCCGGTGGTCTCCTGGGCACCGCTGTTAGCTTCCTCGGCAGCTTCAGTCGGCACACTATTCATGTCCTCCGTAACGAGTTCATTGCAGTGTTCCAGGCTAAGCGATGGGATGAGGAAGTTCAGCATGTTCGACTGGAGGACAGCCTTGTCAAAATCGTCGAAGGTATTTTCCTTCACTCGCTTGCGTACCTCATAGGTTAGAACACGCGTGCCCGCCGGATCGTGGTTGATGCCTGTCGAGAAGAGAATCCACAGTTGATATACAACATCACTCAGCACGGAGTGGCCCATACTCGTAAGTGCGGCTTGGGTAAGATCCTGCAGCATAACCGTGCGCTCCTTCCGTTTCAGCCGAAACGCCAACTCACTTTCCCGCGTAAAGTGGAGCGACCTCTCTCCACGGCTGAACGCCTCGGCGCAGAGACGCAGGCGTGTGAGGACCTCGTGCGACCGGCAGCAGCACCACCGCTTGAGAATAACATCACCGACGGTGCGGACATCTGTTACCGCAGATGGCCCGGCCCGCGCGTTGGACCTTGCGCCGGTGCCACCCTTCTGCGCGTCGCCTGGGGAGCTGGCGGCTGTGGCGGCGTCCAACTGCAGCGGCGCCCGGTCCCGCCACTCGTGCACCAGCGCGGCGCGGAACGCCTCCTTCCAGCGCGCGTCGGAGATGAGGTTGACCCACACGTACTGCGAGTCCTTCGGGATGATGCAGCAGCTGCCGTTAAGGTTGGGGTGTGCCGCCAGCGGCACGTCGGCGTGCACGTCGACCACTTCCTCTTCCACGTTACCTGGCCGCTGCAATTGGTAGCGGATGCTTAGCTGCGGGCAGGGCGTCGCGCTGTCTGCTTCCTGTTGTGCCGCCCGTGCCGCCGCCGCCTCGGCGTCCTCGACGGGGTTGATGGGCGTGAGCACGATGACCTCCTCGTGTTTGCCCCTCGCTGCGATACGGACGGTGTGGGCGCCATAGAACATCACGTATGGCTCCATGCGCCGCGTTGTCTCCACCACCTCCACGACAAGCACGACGCTCTCAACACTGGATGGGATCTCAAAGTCAGTGCTTGCGCTGTAGAAGGGGGCGTTGGAGTTCTCCTGCAGCTGCGTTGTGAAGACATCTGTCAGGACTTCCTTCAGCGTGTCGTTGTAAACTAACAGACGCACCAGTGTTGAGCACGCGCACGGGTCGTCGTCAGTCTGCGGATAGTTACGACCACGCAATATATCCACGTGAAGATGCGGTGCTTGTGCCATTAGACCCCACAATGCCACTCTTCAGAACTCTGTATTTACAAGTAGTACCAAACCTAAGTCCCCAGTTGTCACATTCGCCACCAGAACGACAACAGCAATTGAGCCACGGAAAACAAAAAGCCAATGGCACACCATCAGGCACTCAGCGACTGCACTCCGCAGGAAAGAGCGACGAGCCCACACCAAAACCAAACACAAAAGCTCGCATCGGCAGTACTCACCGCAGCACGCACTTCATAAATCACCCAGCAAACCCTCAAAATACACAAAAAAAACGAGCAAGCAGCTTCCCATATGGCCCGAGAAGTCACACAGCCGCAACAGGAAAGGGAACAATAAGGCCATCGCTCACCCACAACAAAAAAGGATAGTTAAACACATCACGCCGCAAAGAGTAAGGCAACAAAAAAAGCGATATAACTAATTACCCCATAAGTAATGCAAGCGAAGCATCACCGCCCTAATGTTCTTGCCACCCAAACAGTCCATCAACGGAAGAGGAAGCACAGCTTCATCAACCAACAATAAAAAAAAACATAAACGCAAAACCACAACGGCTTAACTACCACAAACCAATTATATTTGACACCCACGATAGATAGCACTCTCTCTGGACCGAAGATACCAAGAACCCCACAGCAACTTTGAAT